TGGCCACCGCCAAAATCTCCCCTCGGAACAGATCCAACCCGACTGCCACCACCCCCACTGCTGCCACTACCGCCACCCCCACCGCTGCCACCACCGCCGCCACCAAAGCCCCCACTCCCGCCACCACTCCCACCGCTGCCACCACCTCCGCTACCTCCACCACCTCCACTGCCGCCCCCACTACCACCCCTGCTGCCACCGCCACCACTCTTTTGACCCTTGCCCTTGCTGCTGCGGCGCTTACCATTAAGAGCAGAAGCAGCCCCGACATCCGTAGCACCAAGGATGTCAACAGCAACAGCAGAGGCATATGAGGGGGCAAGGGGGGAGGGGGAACACCCCTCAAAGAAGAGCGTGCGAGGAGTGCCACGACTACGCTAGTCTCTGCTGCCAGGAGGTGCTACTCGAGTAGGTCGACACTGAGGTCTGTGGGGTCAAGTGCGAGAAAGTGGTCCCTAACAGCGCGAAGAGAGACAGGGAGGTGGGTGATTATGAACTAGAGAGTGATGTACATCGGGGGCGGGTTCTTGTCAATGAACTATGCTGGGAGGGCAGCGCGGTGGCGAGCGTCACTAGTGCGAAGGTGGGTAACGAGGTCCTCTACCGTGGCAAAGGCGAACAGCTCGGGAAAGAGGTAGGGCAGTAGAAGACGGCCTAGAGCAGCAGTGGCAGGGGAGGAGTAACGAACGACTACAGCGTCGTACAGTGCTTTAGCAGTCTTGTGCTGTCTGAAGTGAGCGCGTTCGGCTAACGGCAGGTGGTTGTGAACGGCTAAGTGAGCAACAGCGTCACGGGTATGCCACTGTGAGCGAGTCGCACTGTCAGCTGCGGCGGGAGGGGCGAGAGAGGCTCCAGGCGTGTGGTCAAACAACGAAACGCTGTCTCTAGAATCGCTCAGTAGGCATAGCTGTAAGTCGTCGAGCCACGTATCGAACTAGATCGGATGGCCCTCATGATCAACGGTGAGTACACCGAGAGGAGCCATAGCGGGCAGAGCAGCGTGCAGAGCAAGGCAGGGCGGCGCACGGCTAGGGCGGCCAGCGGGGCGGGCAGTAGCCGGGCGGCACAGGCAGCAAAAGGGCGGCGAGTGGGATGCCAGAGGGCGGCGTGTGGGCTGCCAGAGGGCAGCGAGCCGGCTGCAAGGGGGGAGCGAGCGGGCCACCAGAGGGCGGCGAGCGGGCTGCAAGGGGCGGCGAGCGGGCTGCAAGGGGCGGCGAGCGGGCTGCAAGGGGCGGCGCGCAGGCTGCAAGAGGGCGGCTCACGGGCTGCAAGGGGCGGCGAGCGGGCCGCAAGCGGGCGGCGAGCAGGCTGCAGGGGCGGCGAGCGGGCCGCAAGCGGGCGGCGAGCGGGCGGCAAGGGCGGCGAGCGGGCCGTAAGGGCGGCGAGCGGGCCGCAAGGGCGGCGAGCGGGCCGAAGGGCAGCGAGCGGGCCCCAGGCGGGCGGCGAGCGGGCTGCAGGGGCAGCGCGCGGGCCGCAAGCGAGCGGTGAGCGGGCTGTAGGGGTGGCAAGCGGGCCGTAAGGGCGGCGAGCGGGCTGTAAGGGCGGCGAGCGGGCCGCAAGCGGGCGGCAAGCGGGCTGCAGGGGCGGCGCGCGGGCCGCAAGCGGGCGGCGAGCAGGCGGCAATGGCGGTGAGCGGGCCGTAAGGGCGGCGAGCGGGCTGCAGGGGCGGCGCGCTGGCTGCAGGGGCGGCTCGCGGGCTGCTAAGGGCGGCGCGACGGGCTGCTAGGGGCGGCACAGCGACCAGCAGGGCGGCGCGCCATTAGGGTAGGGCTGCAGGGCAGCTAGTGGGCCAGCTCGATGGTGGGCCCTAAAAAAATCCGGTCCTAGGGAAGGACCTGCTCTGAAACCATGTTAGAATCTAGAACGAGAATGAATGAACTATGAATGAGTTGGGTACAAGTACTAACCCTAATTGGGTTGTACCCCTTTTGGGCTACCCCACTACAGCCTAAACAATGTAAGCATTATAACATTTTGACATAGTTTTCAAACGAGTGCAAAGTATGAGTGAAGGCATGAGCGAATACTTATGTGCGAAACATGCAACGGTTACGCGGTGCGTGCGAGCTAGCTAGTGCTAGGATGGCATCGAGGGCTAGCCCCGAAGTGTTGGCCGACTCGGCCGGGCCAGCGGTACATGGTTTGGTGAAACAGTGCGCGCGAAGTTGGCGAAGCCCCGTTAGCAGTAACGGACGAACAACGGCTGCTGTTGTACGCGATGTTGATGGTCGCGGTAAGGAATGTCGAGAAAATTCCTTACAAAGAGTAACGAGCTACAAGTAGGCACAGTCTAGCTTGGAGAGGAACTTGGGACATTTGAGGCTCGGAAAGCGGCGAAAGGTGCGGAGGCAGCTCGCAAGTGGTTCGGGGCGAAATTGTAGGCCAAACCAGCTGAGCAGAAAATTCGGAATGTACTAGCTAAACTTAATCTACAGAAAGAAATATATTTCACTAAAGCAAGTGTGTTTTCCACTAAAAATAACCCTATGATTATGCAACACTTACTTCTATCCTTTTCTTTATTCCTACTCTAAATCAAGCCTCGAGCCATTATGCACCGGCATCAGGTATCAAACGCCAGGAACACTCAAACCGCATATTAAGGCCTTGTACAACCTACATATGTTCATATATACAGATTATATAAATGCGGTACGCTATAGCACCATACCATGTGATGTGAGGAACGTTGCATTGCATGAAGGAATAAATTACAAGGAATTACTCATATGTACAACTAGATATTTTACTGCGCACACATTGTCCTATTTGATCCGTACCGGACATACCCTTCCCGCGCTGGTTAAACCCGGCGTACACAGCGGGCTGCACGCACAGCTGCCAGGCAGCAGCAGCGCACCCCGCTGGCTGGTGCTGCAGGCAGTCCGCCCAGGGGAACTTGGTGGGACCCAAGTCTAGGTCGTGGAGACGCGTGGAGAATCCGTGTGCGTTGTTGTCCGCACACAGGCGCTGAGAGAGAGATGGGGGTGCAGGAAGGGAGAGGAGAGGGGAGGGCTGAGAATGAGGGAGGGAGACACAAAACCATGTCTTGCCAGCCCAGGCACGTGCAAAAACTGTGCACGTTGTTGATTTGCACACATACGCAAAGTGAGCGGAAGAAGGTGGGAGAGAGGTGAGAAGGTGGGCGGGGGGGGGGGGGTGGGGGAGGGGGGAGGGGGGGAATGGATTGGGGAAGTATGGAATGGGAGAAGCTGAAGCACATGCATTGTCTGTCAAATTCATACGTGTGGGGAAGCTGTATGGAGAGGGTGGGAGGTGGTGCAGGTTAGTCCTCATGTTACAAGCACCATGTGGAAACGTCTCTTGGACTAATAAAAAGGAGGGGGAAGTCGCTCACATGCCTGCGTTCCACATCACACGCAAAAAAAAAAAAAAAAAAAAAAAAAAAAAAACAATTTAACGCCGTAAGCACTCTCTGGGATGGCACTAACTCTGAAGCACCTCTGAATTGGGGCACAAAGCCAAGCACTGTCCAGCTCCTCTGGAAGGAACTCATCAAGTGGCGATCCATTTCCCTAAGGGCTTCGAGTGCTGCGTGGGTACACAGCCACTCACCTGAGGGAACGAAATGCCGTTCGCTCGCCCTGCTGCAGTGCCCCACGCTGATGTGTACTCGGCCACAAACACTGCCTTGTTCGCCTGGAGGTGAGTGGGGGGGAGTGAAAAGGGGGAGGGTGGATGGAGGGGGACCCAGAAGGTCGCACTGATGTGTAGTCGGCCACAAACACTGCCTTGTTCGCCTGGTGGATGGGGGAAGAGGGGGAGGGCGGGGACAGGGGGGGAAGGGAGAAGAGAGGGACCCAGAAAGGCATGCTGCTGTATACTCCGCCACTAACACTTCCTTGTTCGCCTACGAGGCAGGAGTCTTGGGGTGGCCCAAGGGTTATTGTTGAGCCGCTCATGAGAAGTTTCAAAAGTGACCCAAACATGTTCGCCTGGGTGGGAGGACCAGATGGTCACAGGGGCAGTGTTGCACGGCACGCAAGGGAGCCGGAGCAGGGAGGCATGGGTGGGTGGTGCCAATGTGGTTGCTTGCATGACGTCTTGACCGATTTCAGCTGTCTTCCCACCTTGATAACGCTGGCAACATTGCCACCCCCTGTACGCACCCGAATCTTACGCTTCATGCATCAGCCCCTTTCTCCCCTCGCCTTCTCACCTCAACAACCACATTGGCATAGTCACACTGGTACTGGCCCAACTGTCAATGCTTCCTAGAGTGGTAGGCAAGCGGTCCTAGGGTGGTTGGCAAGCGGTTGGTCCCACTGCACGCTCTCCCCCGCTCTACCTTGTTCCCCCCATTTCTCCTCTCCCTCCCCTCCTCTCACCTTCACAAAGATGTTCGCACAGTCGCACTCGTGTTACCAACTTCTAGAATCTCCAAGAGTGGCACATACAAACCCACCATTGCTCCCCGTCCTCTCCCAGGCATTCACCCTTCTCAACCCCCTTACTATCACCTTGATAAGCACATTCGCATAGTCACATTCATGCGTTACTCCTGCAGCAGCGAGGTCAGCGAAGGTGCTGCACTCTCCTCTTCCCCCCATCCCTCCTCTCCGTCCACTACTCTCACCTCGATGGACACCGTCGCACTCATCATTACCCCAACCCCATGCCATGCCACCCCTCCCCTCCCAGCCATCAAGGTGAGAGAAGCGGAGGGGGAATGCCCCTCCCCTCCCAGCCATCAAGGTGAGAGAAGCGGAGGGGGAATGCCCCTCCTCTCCCAGCCATTCCCCCTTCCCACCCTCCTCCTCTCAGCTATATGAACACTTTGGCATAGTCGCATTCGTGCTTGCCCTTGTACCACCCGCCCACTTACACACCCCACGCTTCCCCCTCCCCTCCACCCCCCTTCCCAGCCTTCCTTTCTCTCACCTTAACAAACACGTTGGCATAGTCGCATTCATATTTGCCCTTGTACCACTCCCCACCGCTCCAGTCACTGAACGCGTTACACTCCTCCACCAATGCAGTTAGGAAAGGGGAGCAGTCTGAAAAGGTGCTGCACTCCCCTCCCCGCCATCCCTCCTCCAACCCTCCCCTTTCTCTCCTCTCACCTTGATAAACACATTCACATAGTCACACTCGTACTTGCCCTTGTACCACTCCCCACCACTCCAGTCACTGAACGCGTTACACTCCTCCACCAGCGCCCAGTCAAACTTGGAGACCAGCGCCGCTGCAATAGTCAACGCATTCTTGAGACCCACACTCATGCCGTGCCTGTTCCACGTGGGGGGGATGGACACATGGACGGGGAAGGGAAGGGGCAGCCACTGACCGCCCGTGCAATGGTGAGGGTGTTCGTGAGACCCACACTCATGCCGTGCCTGTTGAAGGGAGGCGGGAGAGAAGGGGAGGGAGGGAAGGGAAGGGAGGGAAGGGGAGGGAGGGAAGGGGAGGGAGGGAAGGGGAGGGAGGGAAGGGAAGGGAGGGAAGGGGAGGGAGGGAAGGGGAGGGAGGGAAGGGAAGGGAGGGAAGGGGAGGGAGGGAAGGGGAGGGAGGGAAGGGGAGGGAGGGAAGGGGAGGGAGGGAAGGGGAGGGAGGGAAGGGAAGGGAGGGAGGGAAGGGAAGGGAGGGAGGGAAGGGAAGGGAAGGGAGGGAAGGGGAGGGAGGGAAGGGAAGGGAGGGAGGGAAGGGGAGGGAGGGAAGGGGAGGGAGGGAAGGGAAGGGAGGGAGGGAAGGGAAGGGAGGGAGGGAAGGGAAGGGAAGGGAGGGAAGGGGAGGGAGGGAAGGGAAGGGAGGGAGGGAAGGGGAGGGAGGGAAGGGGAGGGAGGGAAGGGGAGGGAGGGAAGGGAAGGGAGGGAAGGGGAGGGAGGGAAGGGGAGGGAGGGAAGGGAAGGGAGGGAAGGGGAGGGAGGGAAGGGAAGGGAGGGAGGGAAGGGGAGGGAGGGAAGGGGAGGGAGGGAAGGGGAGGGAGGGAAGGGGAGGGAGGGAAGGGGAGGGAGGGAAGGGGAGGGAGGGAAGGGGAGGGAGGGAAGGGGAGGGAGGGAAGGGGAGGGAGGGAAGGGGAGGGAGGGAAGGGGAGGGAGGGAAGGGGAGGGAGGGAAGGGGAGGGAGGGAAGGGGAGGGAGGGAAGGGGAGGGAGGGAAGGGGAGGGAGGGAAGGGGAGGGAGGGAAGGGGAGGGAGGGAAGGGGAGGGAGGGAAGGGGAGGGAGGGAAGGGGAGGGAGGGAAGGGGAGGGAGGGAAGGGGAGGGAGGGAAGGGGAGGGAGGGAAGGGGAGGGAGGGAAGGGGAGGGAGGGAAGGGGAGGGAGGGAAGGGGAGGGAGGGAAGGGGAGGGAGGGAAGGGGAGGGAGGGAAGGGGAGGGAGGGAAGGGAAGGGAGGGAGGGAAGGGGAGGGAGGGAAGGGGAGGGAGGGAAGGGGTGGTGAGCGATTATTTTGCGACCCTCTCCTCTGCACTTAGCCACCAATGCTAGTCATTCTTGCTGATGCGCACACGCCTAGCAAAGGCTAGCAGTCACCCATAAGAAAGCGATTTAACACTCAACACTGCATGCCACCCACCCACCTGTGCACGGTGTCTGCGATCCAAGAGTTGTACCGCATCTGGTCATTCTTGCTGATGCGCACACTCCTGGAGAAGGGCGGCAGCCACACGTTGAGGCGGTTGCTGTACGCGTCGATGTTGTCTGGCTCTATGCCGTCACACCCCTTGCTCGCTGCTAGCTGCGGGATGAAGAGGAGAAACGCGGCGAGGAGGAGAATTGCTGACATGGGAGGAGGGTGTTGTTGCGGGTATCGTTGCCAGGCTCTATGCCATCGCAGCTGGCTGCTAGCTGTGGGCACAAAGCAGGGAGAGGCGGTGAGGAGAGGCGTATTGGTGAACTGGGGGGAGGGTACTGCTGGGGTGGTTGTTGCTGTGGGTGGCGATGTTGTCCGGCGAAACACTGCCACACACACCCCTTGCGCGCTGCTAGCTGTGATGAGGAGAGGTGGAGTGGAATCAGAGAAAAAGGGGTGAACAGGGATTTCCCCTTCACTGCACTCCACGTTTGTCCTTCACTGTTATGTCACAGAATATATTGTTAGGTGCAATACATTCAGTTACTTGCTAGAGTAGGTGTAGTTGGGTTATTAGAAATACTGTAGAAGTTGGGTTTGGTGCGTGCGTGGGAGATCGCGGACGCGTTCGCCACGGAGGGCGGCGTACCGCACGGAGCTGGTGTTTGACGGGCGCCGAGATGGAGGCGAGGCAGGTCTGCACGCGGGATCGGAGCCCAGGCCTCAACCGTCCAACATCAGCCCTTGGAATCTGGCAGGTGGCCAGCAAGGAGAGGGTGGAAGGCGTCCCTACGACGCGGACGTGGTGGACTCGTCGGAGTTGGCAAAGGAGGCCAACGGCGAGGAAGCAGAAGAGATCTCGGAAGGTGGTGATGAGGAAGAAGTCGTGGAAGAAGAGCGCGACAAAGGGAGCAACGACGCAGGCGAAAATGGCTCGCCGGTAGGGATGCGCGGAGGCGGGGCAAAACGTCGCGGGAGCGCGGATGCTGGTCGCTCGGCGGGCGAAATGCGTGGGAACAGCGTAAGGCACCGCGGGAGCGCGGATGCAGGTCGCTCGGCGGACGAAATGTGTGGGGGCAATGCGAGGTGCCATGGGAACATCGCGGATGCAGAACGCGCGCCAGAGGAGGTGCGCGGGAGTGGCGCGAGGGGCCAGGGGAACAGCGCGGATGCAGATCGCGCGCCAGAGGAGCTGCGCAGGAGGGGCGTGAGGCGCCGCAGGAGCAAGGAGAATGATCGCGCGACAGAGCTGATGCGTGGGGAAGACATAAGGCGACGTGAAAATGCAGAAGCAACTCGATCACCGGAGGGGCGGGACAATGCAGGCAAGCGAAGTCATGCACCGGCAGGGGCGTATCGCTCGCCGGAATTACAGCGAGAACCTGAGTGGAGGAGGCGTATGGCGATGGGAGTTCGGCGATCTCCGGAGCCGTGGGACGAAGAAGAGGAAGAGGGTAGACGGGAGCTGCGGGGGCGGAATGCACTGCCAAGGGAGGTACCTGAGGAGGAAATCAGGGGGAAGGCGGAAAGGCAGAAGCTGAAAAGGAGAGATGAAGAGCAATATAGAAGGGGGGAGAGGTCGACTGAAGGGAGGAGAGAAAGTGAAAGGGAGGACTATGAGCATGGGCTGGATCGGCGCCGCCGGGGTACGCAGGAGAAGGAATTATGCCCTGCAGGGAGAGAGGGGTACAGGGGAAGGCAAGAAGGGCGAAGGAAATCTGGTGTGGGGGTCAGGGAGAAGCCGGACAAGAGGGGGCAGAGAAGGGGAGGTGAGGAGCAGCACGTGCTAAGGGAGAGATTGCCAGAGAGGGAAACAAGGAGTGAAGGAGAAGAGGAAGAGTACGCTCAGAGATGGCACCAAAATGGTGAGCAGGAGAAATGGAGAGAAGGGTCCTCTGCAGGGAGGAGGGAGAAATGGGAGAAGAAGGAGAGGAAGAGGAGCCCGAGCCCAGAATGGCACGGGAGGCATTCAACGGCATGGGAGGGATCGAAGGAAGCGAGGGCGGCCAGAGAAGGCATCGACCGCGTGCTGTATGGGACAGGAGCGAGGGATAAGGAGACGAGGAAGGTACCTGAAGAGGGGTACAAGGGAAGGCAAGAGGGACGTAGGGAATTTGATGTGAAGAGGGAGAAGCAGAACAACAGGGGGCAGAGAAAGAGAGATGAGGGACAGCATAGGCGACAGAGTAGGATGCATGACACAGAGAGCGTTGATGGAGAAGAGTGTGATAGGCAGCCACGCCAGGAATCAGGTCGAAGGGAGGGGCGCTGGGAAGAATATTCCCCTGAAACGAGGGAGAGACCAGGGTGGGGATCGGAGAGATATGGGGAGGCTCGAGAGAGAGAGGGGGGAAAGAGCCTAAGTACGACATGGCAGAGAAGGCAGCAGCAGTCAGGGGTAGGCGCTGGGGGAGCAAGGGCGGCCAGGGAAGGAAATGATCGAGAGCTGTATGGGACAGAGTCAAGAAGCAGGGAGATGAGGGAGAGGAAGGGAGAGACTGGCAAGAGGAATAAGGAGATCTCAGGGACTTGGGAGACGGGGAGGTGGAGTATGCAGGCCCCACCTCGGGTGGAGGTGCCAGTGCGCTTTACGGGGGGAGCGGGATCAGGCGATTTTTTAGTCGACTAAAAAATCGCCTCTTCACTTTACGGGGGGAGCGGGATCAGGCGATTTTTGAGTCGACTCAAAAATCGCCTCTTCACGTTACGGGGGGAGCAGGATCAGGCGATTTTTTAGTCGACTCAAAAATCGCCTCTTCACTTTACGGGGGGAGCGGGATTAGGCGATTTTTGAGTCGACTCAAAATCGCCTCTTCACGTTACGGGGGGAGCGGGATCAGGCGATTTTTGAGTCGACTCAAAAATCGCCTCTTCACTTTACGGGGGGAGCGGGATCAGGAACCAACCTGAAGAATTAGTGTGAAGTACCGCTGCGACAGAAGCGGGATGGACCCGATAGAGTTTTTCTTAAGCCTTCTGAATACGCTGGGGGGCGAAGCTGAAACGCTGTACCGAATGAAGATGCCGGAGTGGCTGAGGCGAGCAGATGAGGATGGAGATGATCCCACGACGCTGTTCATTGAGCAACTGAGAAAACAGTTCCCGGGCCACACAGCAGACCGTATCCGAGAGTTTCAGGAGTTTAGGCGGGGTAAGGCGGAGTCACTACTCACATACTTTGGGAGGCTCACTAATCTAGCGGAGGATGTGGCCTGCACGGATAGCAGCATGTTGATTAGCAAGTTTCTGGGGGGTTTAGATGGACGACTGAGTGGAGGACTGAGAATGAGAGTGTATGAGTTGGGAGTTGAAGCAACGCTAGAGGAGGTGTTTGAACTGGCGGAGAAAGTGGAGCAGGAGCAGAGACGGTACGAGGCGTACCTGCCGAGGGTGTCAGAGAAAGGGCGTCCCAGGTGGGCTGCAGCGATGGTAACCGAGGACGGGGGTGGGGAGGAGCAGTGGCAGGAGAGACAAGCAGATACACGTACGTGCCACAGGTGCGGGCAGGAGGGGCATCTCAGGAGGGAGTGCAAGAATTGTGATGTGTGCGGAAAGCCTGGGCACCGCCGAAGGGACTGCCCAGATGCACCGATCTATGAGATGTGTGGGAAAAATGGGCATCAGGCAAAGGACTGCTATGAGAAAATAAGGGAGGCAAGGAGATCACCCGAGGAGATAGAGAAACAGATCGAACAGTTACGAGCCCAACTGCAGGGGCTGGGAGAAAGAACACAGTGGCAAGCGGGGTTGTACGTGGAGGAGGAAGAGGAGCAGGAGCCAGAATACTTCTGTGCGGTGCTGCGTAGCCATGCGGACATGCAGCTGCGCAGTGGGGGCAGGGACGGGCGAAGGGAGCAAGTGAGTAAGGTGGGGACATGGGCGTGTATGTTAGTAACACCAGCAGCAGCGGAAGCGGGGGAGTGGGACGAACAGGTGGGGGCAGAAGCGTGTGTACCAGCAGCGGCGGAAGCGGAAGGGAAGAACGAGAAAGTGGGGGAATGGGCGGGTGTACCAGAGGCAGCGGAAGCGGAAGGAAGGAAGCGAAGGTGGGGGCACAGGTGTGCAAACCAGAATTAGCAGAAGCGGAGGGGAAGGAAGGAAGAGAAGGTGGGGGCACAGGCGTGTGTAGCAGCAGCAACGGAAGTAGAAGTGGAGGATGAGGAGGTGGAGGCACAGGCGTGTGTAGCAGCAGTAGCAGAAGAGGAAGGGAAAGAAGAGAAAGTGGGGGCACAGGCATGTGTAGCAGCAGCAGCAGAAGAGGAAGGGAAAGAAGAGAAGGTGGGGGCACAGGCGTGTGTAGCAGCAGCAGCAGAAGAGGAAAGAAAAGAAGAGAAGGTGGGGGCACAGGCGTGTGTAGCAGGAGCAGCAAAAGAGGAAGGGAAAGAAGAGAAAGTGGGGGCACAGGCGTATGTAGCAGCAGCAGCAGAAGGGGAAGGGAAAGAAGAGAAGGTGGGGGCACCTGCGGGTGTAGCAGCAGCAGCAGAAGCGGAAGTGGAGGATGAGGTGGTGGGGGTTTTGGCAGGTTGGCCAGCAAAGGAAGAAGCTAAGTGGACGGTGGGGGAGGCAATGAGCGTGCAGGGGAAGGAAGTCACACTCATGACACAGACAGTGGGAACAGGAGGGATTGAGAGTTGTGTGGCTGAGAGATGCACACAGGCCAGAGCAGCGGCTGCAGCAGGGCGGCAAGAAGGACGAAGGCGGCAGTAGGAGTAGGACAGGAAGTCTACCTCCGGGAGGAACAGCAGGATACTCTGGAAGTGGCGCCGGGCACACAGAGAAGGAAGGCGACGGATCTGAGGGGTGCGGGGGTGCTGTGCTAGAGAATGAGCGAAGACAGGGGAGCACCAATACTGCGGTGGTGAGAAGTACCCTGGCCTCAGCAAGAGTGTCCAGTGCCTCGTGCAAGGGAGACCCGAGCACGAGCTCTGGAGGGGGCAGGTAGTGGCTGAGGCAGAGAAGGGAAGGTATTACAGGAACGGGGCAGAGAGAAGAAGTGAGGGAGGATGAGTGCTGGGAGGAGAGGGCAGGTCATGGGAGGCAACAGAGGACGGATTTCCGACAGTTATGCAGTTACCGTACATGTAACCATTGTCCCTTCATCACAATCACCACACCTATTCCTTGCTACATCACCTGCTCCCATCCCTCGCTACAGTCACCTGCTCCCATCCCTCGCTACAGTCACCTGCTCCCATCCCTCGCTACAGTCACCTGCTCCCATCCCTCGCTACAGTCACCTGCTCCCATCCCTCGCTACAGTCGCCTGCCCCCATCCCCTGCTACAGTCAGCAGCACGCGTTTCTCCCTACGATCACCAGTACACGTCTCTCCCTACTGTGTCACCAGCCCCCACCTCTCCCTACTGTGTCACCAGCCCCCACCTCTCCCTACTGTGTCACCAGCCCCCACCTCTCCCTACTGTGTCACCAGCCCCCACCTCTCCCTACTGTGTCACCAGCCCCCACCTCTCCCTACAGTCACCTGCACGCGTTTCTCCATGATTCGCTTCACCAACGGGTCCTTCACATCCAGCCACCGCTCCCCCTTGAGGAACCACAATCACCTTCACCCATTCGTCTTTTCAATCACCTGCATCCACCTCTTTCCACTTGAGGTGCGACGCCCACCTGCACTGCACCCACCTGCACTGCACCCACCTGCACTGCACCCACCTGCACTGCACCCACCTGCACTGCACCCACCTGAACGCGCTTCTCCATGATTTGCTTCACCACCGGGTCCTTCACATCCAGCCATCGCTCCCCCGGCCACCACTTGCGGCACCACCGGTTCTGAGGGGGACAAACGCGGTTGGGTTGGGTTGGGTTGGGTTGGGTTCGGTTGCGGATTTTGACTTCTTGAGGCACTTGAGGTTGAGGCACCACCAGTCGTGAGGGGAAGACATTCGGTTGGGTTGGGTTGAAGGAGTCGAGGAGTTGAAGTGGACGAAGTGGGATTAGGGAGGATAAAAAATCGGAGAAGATTTGATAAATACTGAAAATGAAACTGTAGAATAACAACTTCCTCGCCTCGCTGCACTCACCAGACACACTCGCCCCTTCTCTTGACGCAAATAGGAACGCTGTCAGCGTTGGGGCGGTAGCTCTGAAACGTGCCAAGCTGAAGTAGCACACCACCTTCAAGCGCATGTTGAGTCAACCCAAAATCCACGCACACCCCCCCTCTCTGCGCTCACCAGGCACACTCGCCCTTTTTTAACGCGCTTGGGAAAGCTGTCAGCATCGGGGCGGTAGCTTTCGAATGTGCCGAAACTGAAGGATCACACCACGCACCCCCCTTACACACAACCCTCTCTTTGCCCCCATGCCTCCCACTCACCTGGCACACTCTGCCCTTCTTGACGCGCTTGGGGAAGCTGTCAGAGTCGGGGCGGTAGCTCTCGAACGTGCCAAAGCTGAAGTAGCACACCATGGCCCCTCCCCCCCCCCCCCCCCCACGCAACCCCTCTCTTCCTCAAACCAGGCGCCCCAATTTGACCCCTATGGCCCGCATCAAGCCCCCCGCACCTGGCACACGCGCCCCTTCTTGACGCACATGGGGAAGCTGTCAGAGTCGGGGCGGTAGCTTTCGAAGGTGCCAAAGCTGAAGTAGCACACCACACACCCTCCTTACACACAACCCTTCTCTTTGCCCCCATGCCTCCCACTCACCTGGCACACTCGGCCCTTCTTGACGCGCTTGGGGAAGCTGTCAGAGTCGGGGCGGTAGCTTTCGAAGATGCCGAAGCTGAAGTAGCACACCACCTTCTTGCCACCCGCCTTCAGCGCCGCGATCGTGCTGGGCGGCACACTGAACCCGTCCACGTCATACACCTCCGCAGGGTCAGTGGTGTCGATTGAACCTGGGGGGAGACGCCGGGGAAGCAAGGAGGGCTGCACAATAAGGCCGGCACACTGTGACTGAACCCGTCCACGTCATACACCTCCGCGGGGTCAGTAATATCATTGGAGCCTGGGGGAGAGGAGAGGGGGAGGGCACTAGCAAGTAGCCCATGGCGAACAATATGGCCAGCCACCCCTTGCTAGACGTCAATCCAGTACCTACGGGTGCTTACTACAGGCTGTTTGGTAGGCTTCTAGAGTCGCTTAGGTAGCTTACCACTTATGTCACACCACTTACATGCTTACACACCACCACTAGCACGTAGTCCATGCATGCCTTACACTTGCTGTACCGTTTATTATATTCAATGAGAAGGACCGTTAGAGGGGGAGGGAAGGGGGGTGTTGGGATTCAGCAAGGTGGCTTGCAATTTGAGTCGATTCAAAAGTCATGCCAATCACCTCTCTGCGAGGTAGCTTTGTGGAATGAACAAGCAAGGAGGACGAGGCAGGAAACGTGTGGTAGAGAGGGGAAAGAGGGGAAAGGGGAGAGGAAGAGGGGGGGAGGGCTGTGGTGGGGAAGGGGCATGTAGGGTAACGCTGTGCTCATCTGTGCAGCGTGGCACGCACTTGGATCACAGAAAGAGGAGAAAAAGGATGCGGGGGGGGCGGTTTGGATTGCCCTTTAATGTAGCGAGGAGGAAGCGCACATCATGCTAAGTCAGGGTCGCACCGTTTAGGGTATTCAGAGCGACTACCTGAAACTACAAGCCTCAAAACAACGCAGACTCGTTTTCAACAAAAAAAACGTTACCCTGTTATACCCTCTCATTCGTTCGGCGTGTTCTGCAGTACACTATGTCCGCGTTACAGCGTCACGTGCCAGTAGAAGGTGGTACCCGGGGTGGGTTGGAACCACGCCCGGCCGGATCGCAACTGAAGCGTCAGCGTTAAGGCGAAGATCAGCACCGCCATTTGCCACGTGGTGTTCTCCATGGAACCGCGAAAATAGCTGCTCCGTGCGGATTTAACGGTCAAGCTTCTTAGCATTACGAACATGTGTTACTTCTGGCATTTATGCTGCTTCTGATACGGACTTCGTCTGTGAATGAAACCGCAGACAAGAGAATAGATATGCCATGTTACTGCCTACGCGAAATCCAAGCTAACTGGAAGGAAGGAAGCACGGAAGCTTGTGTTGCCGGTGAGGGAGACGTCGAGGCGAGGCCGATGATTCTGCAAGTTGTATCATGCTTGACGTTTCAAGAATTGCCCGGCCCCAGGTTATACCGACCGAACCAGACGACGCTGCAGCCGCAGCAGCGGCGGCAGCTGGTGGTTTGCACCATTGAAGCCACACAATGTTCGTGTCAACAAGGTCTGAAAAAATCCCTGCTGCCTATCTCCCTCGCCTCCATTCCGCGTTCATTCCAAGTCAACAAAAAAAAAATACCTAGAGTGCAGCCACCGGGACACGGCAAGCAGCATGCTTTCAACAGCAGAGCCAGCAGCATGCGCGGGGCAGCCACCCCTCGCACCACCCTGCCCGCCATCTCCCTCGCTTCCGCGGCTCCGCCCTGCTGAGCTTAAAGTCAGCTTAACAAAGCTATTTGGAGTGAAGCCATCGAGACACGGCAAGCAGCGCACTTTCCACAGCAGAGTCTGCAGCATGAACGGCCACACCACGCACCACCCTGCCGGCCATCTCCCTCGCCTCCACACCTCCGCCCTGCCGAGCTTGAAGTCAGCTTAACAAAGCTATTTGGAGTGAAGCCATCGAGACACGGCAAGCAGCGCATTTTCCACAGCAGAGTCTGCAGCATGAACGGCCACCCCTCGCACCACCCTGCCGGCCATCTCCCTCGCCTCCGCCCTGCCTGCTGTCTCCACCAGCAGCGGCACCCACAGCTCTGGTGCTCGCTGCACCGCTGCTGCCAGTGCTCCCAGGGGGTCCACAGGAGGAGCCTGGGATGGGTGGGTGAGGGGTATAGGTGAGTGAGAACATGGGTGGGGAAGATATCCATGAGAGCAGCGGCACCCACAGCTATGGTGCATGCTGCACCGCTGCTGCCAGTGCTCCCAAGGGGTCCACAAGGGGGCGGAAGGGCATGGGTGAGTGAGAGCATGAGTGGGGAAGGAATGAATGAGAGCCGTGGCAGCTACGGCTCTTGTGCTCACTACACAGCACAGCTGCTTGCAGTAATCCCAGCGGGTCAACAGGGTGATGGGTTGGGGGCGCATGGGTGAGGCATTGGTGGCGGGGATTTGGTCAGAATCGCTTTTGAGAATTCTCAAAAGTAACAGCTTCATCCGCGTACGAACTTAACTCTTCCTTTCTTTTCAGAGTCGACTAATAAATCGGCTCACTCGCATTACCTATGTTGAATGAGAAGTCATTTGCTCACCAGAGTACGAGCTCACCTCTTCCTTTCTTGCACTGGATCTGCTGTCATGTTTCACGCCAGGCTCTCCTCTCTCTCTCCCTTCTGCCATCACATGGCTTGCTTCTTGCCGTGCTCCAACCACAGCAGATCTACTCACCCTGCTACCCCCCGATCCTCCCTCCCCTCCACTCCCTTCCCTCCCCTCCTGCCTCACCTCTCCCTCTCCTCCGCTCTCTCCCCTCTCCTCCTGTCTCAACTCTCCCTCCCCTCCTCGCTCACCCTTCCCCTCCCTCCTCCCTATCTCCTCCTCCACCCATCGCTCTCCAAACCCACTCCCAGCCAACACAACCCTCTCGTCCATCCATTGCTGCCCAGCAGCCACTGCATCAAGCACGAGCCACCCTCTTGTGCTGCTGCCCTCAGCAGACATCACATACGCCACGAAGTCCCCCGCTGCTGCCACCACTGCTGCCTCATCCACCCCCTCCCTCAGCTCATCCCTCTGTCGCCGCCCCTGCCTCTCCTCCCCACCCACTGCTGCTCTCTCCTTGTCCTTTAGTGAAGCCCTGAAACCAGTCCTCCCGTCTTCCCCCGCTGCTGCCACTACTGCTGCCTCATCCACCCCCTCCCTCAGCTCATCCCTCTGTTGTCCCCCGTGCCTCTCCTCTCCACCCAACGCTGCCCGCTCCGCTTCCTTAGGTGATCCCCTTGCACCATCCCTCTCCTCTGCCTCTGCTGAAACCTGCGCTTCTGTCCGCCCCTCCTGGGGTTCTCTTGGGGGGTTCGAGTCCACCCCAGAGGAGGGATGTGGGGATGGCTTGGAAAGCACGGACGCCTGAAAGTGATGGTGGGGGGGGCAATGAAGGTGATGTGGTTCGAGACATGACTGTTGAGTCGACTCAGAATCACCGAGTTACAATGTCATTCGAGTCCACCCCAGAGGAGCAATGTGGGGATGGCTTGGAGAGCACGGACGCCTGAAGGTGATGGGGTGATGTGCCAAAGTGACTTGAGTTGACTTTTGAGTCGACTCAAAAGACCCCTCGATTCGAGGGGCCTAAGAAGTGGACATGTAGAGAGAGAGAGTGATGTGTCGGCGCCCCACGGTAGCATTCAGACGTCCCACGCTCACCACTCGCTGCATTTCACCAGTTACGGTGCATTATAGCTCACCAGTCACTGCAGGCGCTGCCAGCTGCAGGCGCTGCCAGTTACTGTGCTTTATAGCTCACCAGTCACTGCAGGCGCTGCCAGTTACTCGGAGGGCCACAGCTGCATCTAGCGCGGAAAATCTCTCAGGTCCAGATGCAAAGTGCTGACCAAAGCAGGTGATTGTCTGTGCCTAGTCCTATGCCACGCTCACTTTGCACTTTGCACCTCCCTCACGCTCACCAGTCGCTGCAGGCGCTGCCATCGAATGGCACCCGAGGGCCAGAGCAGCATCTGGCGCAGAATGGCCCGCATGTCCGGTGAAGGGTCTGAGAGAAGCCGCGCTATGATGAATGGGTATGCTGTTGCCACCACCTGGTTGAAAGGGGGGGATGGCGGTGAGGAAGAGGGACGAGGATAGAAAGGGAAGAGAAAAGCCCGCATGTCCGGCGAGGGGTCTGAGAGCAGCCGCGCTATGTTGAAAGGGTATGCTGTTGCCACCATCTGGTTGGGGACGAGTCACAAGGTTGCGGATGGAGAAGAGGGAAGGAGGAGAGAGTGAACCGACAAGGGGAGAACAGACATGAGCAGCTGATAGGGTGGTTCGCTGGCAACGGGAAAAAAGATTGGGGTGGGGAAGTGAGAAAGTGGGGGAGAGAGTGAGGCATGTCAAAGGGGCAGCACAGCAAGTCAAAGGGGCAGCACGGCAAGTCGGACCTTGAAGTTGGGATCGAGAGTCGTTGCCGTGCCTTCTAGCGAGCCAAGGGCGCGCACAACGAGGGAGAGGTGCGGTGGCAGGCTGAAGCGGAAGCGGTACATCACAGAGGAGAGACGCAGGATGACTCCCTGTGGGGGAGAGGAGGGGATGGGAAAAAGAATGGGATGGAGAACGAGTGCATGGTAACACGAGATAAAAGGAGCAGAGAGGATGCGACATGTGCGGCGCGGCGGCAGGCGGAAGCGGAATCGGTACTTCACTGCCAAGAGGCGCAGAGCCCCTGGCGATAGGGAGAGAGGCGGGGGCAAAATGGACACGGCTGAATCACAAGTGGAGAGGATGGGGAAAGCAGTGGGGGCGAAAAGGCCAAGGTTGCAGTGGCGGGGATGAGGTGGGAAGAGAGTGCAGTGAAGAGGACGAGGACGAGGACAAGGACGAGGACGAGGACGAGGACGAGGACGAGGACGAGGACGAGGACGAGGACGAGGATGAGGACGAGGAAAGACGGGCACCAAACCTGAAAGCCCATGCCACTCATGCTGCCGCCAACGTGCCTCCCCTCTCTCCTCGTCTCCCCTTCGCAGAACACTTGTGCAAGCGCTGAAGCAACGGGCCCCGCGCCTGCCTTTGGCGGAATGGAATGCATTCCATCACAGGGGAGTCAATAACGTGAGCCATACCTGAAAGTCCATGCCACTCGTGCTGCCACTCATGCTGTCCCCTTTCCTCGCCTCCCCCTCCCGGAACACCTCTGCAAGCGCTGCAGCAACGGGCGCCACGTCTGCCTCTGGCGGAATGAAGTGCAGCGCCCGAAAGTCTTGCGCTAGGCCCTGGGCGTCGCGATTCACATAGTGCACCACCTGGGTGGGCGATAGAGGGGAGGGGAGGGAGGGAGGGGGGAGGTGTAGATTGTCACAGGCTGTGAAGGGACATTGGGGGATGGCACGCAGTGCAGCACCCGAAAGTAATGCGCCAGGGCCTGGGTGTCGCGATTCTCGTAGTGCACCACCTGGGTGGATGATGTATGATCTATCATGATCACCTGGACCCTCACTCATCCCCTCACTCATCCCCTCACTCATCCCCTCACTCAGGATCGATCACTCCGCTCACCAAAGGGAGTGGGCATTGGGAAGAAAGGAGGAAAGGAGCGTCTGCAGCTGCTACCGCTGCGACTGGCCCACTCACGGCGCGGATGATGCTGATTCGCTGCTGAGGTGGCAACTCGCCCATCATGCCAAAGTCAAAGTACGCCAGCTGGCCGCCACGTGTCACCACCAGATTGCCCGGATGTGGGTCCGCGTGGAAGAACCCCTCCTCCAGCAGCTGGCGCAGCGAACAGAGCACGCCCTGGTGGAGGGGAGGCGGGGTGAGGGGGGAACATTTATAGTACACAGAACACCCCAATCGGTATATGGCAGAATCCCTCCTCTAGCAGCTGGCGCAGCGAGCAGAGCACCCTGGAGTGATGGGAGGAAAGGAGGGGGATGGTGGGGTGGGTGCAGAGTTGCGGTTGAGCAGACTGTGTTGACTGCACGCACGCACACACACATGTATATATATATATATATATATATATATATATTCAATTTGACATTTATATTTGCATATACGTATACGCTAATACATGTCACATGTCACAAGGTACATACCAGGTCCACGACGAACTGAATTGGGATGACTTTGAGAACTCTCAAAAGAGATATTCGATTATCTAAATGCACTGTGACCCCAATACACATGTCACATGTCACATGTCACACAGTGCCTGCCTACCAAGTCCACAACGAACTGTGTGTTGAGGCCGGCTTGCAGCAGCCCTGCACGGTCCGTGAGCTTGATGCCGTCGATCCACTGCCGCAGGGTGAGGGGGTGAGGGGGTGAGTGAGGGAAGGGAGGAGGAGAGACGCAAGAGAGGTTTGCAACAAGGGAGGTGCGCAGCAAGGGAGGTGCGCAGCAAGGGAGGTGCGCAGCAAGGGAGGTGCGCAACAAGGGAGGTGCGCAGCAAGGGAGGTGCGCAGCAAGGGAGGTGCGCAGCAAGGGAGGTGCGCAGCAAGGGAGGTGCGCAGCAAGGGAGGTGCGCAGCAAGGGAGGTGCGCAGCAAGGGAGGTGCGCAGAAAGGTGTGTTGAGGCCGGCTTGCAGCAGGGCTGCACGGTCTGTGAGCTTTATGCCATCGATCCACTGCAGGTGAAGCTGGGGACAGCAAGGGAGGCGCACAGCCAGTGTGATGAAAGGAGTCGCGCACAAGGGAGGTTGCAGCAAGGGGGGGTTGAGCAACGAGGGAGGTGGAAAAAATGACAAGGAACGGGCTGGATGGTGGTTGGTTGCATGCAAGCAGTAATGACTGTCGGCGAAGGAAACAGCAACGAAACAGATGGGAGGCGAGAAGAGAAGCAGAGTCAAGTTGCGAACACGTATAACAGCAGACCCAGAAACGCATTCATTAGGATATGCCTAATCTCATGAGACATTTCTGCGAATTTTTTTTTAGAGTTCGCAGAAATCCCTCACCTCACTTTAAGAGGGATTATTTGTTAATAATGGATATCTTTCTAAATAATCTACTAATTTATCTTTTTTAGTTAAACTACAAACTTCCACAATCGAATAATTTTTATCATTATGACGTGATACTCTTAAATTAACCGATAGATAGTCAGCAATCGATTTCATCACAGCCATATATGACTCTTTCTTTTGTGGATGAATTTGTCGTTGTTTCCTTCCTTTCTTGCGAAAGAAAGCCCTTTCTTTCGCAAAAAAGTCCTTCCTTCGCAAGCAAAGCTCTTTTTTGCTCACCCGGAGGCCACGCTTGCTTCGCAACTTTTTGCTAGTAAATTAGGATATCGTGTAATTACATCATTTTCGATATCTCAAAGTATCGATGATAGCCACATTCTTAAGGGCATAGCAAAGTTTTTCCATTGTGGTAGTATAACCAAAGCCAGAATAAAGAATTCACGCAAATAATTTTATTAAAACTCTCACCTTTAGGAGCATCCTATTCACGCACCTCCATTGTGAGCACGCGCCGACTGGAGTACTTCCAGAAGATTCTTGGAACCTTCACAAGGCCGCGGCGCATGCCCTGAGAGGTTTGCGATTGCGATTGCCCTGGGTTGGGAGGGAGCCAGAGAGGGAAGGCAAGAGCACGCGGAGCGGAACAACAAGTTTAGCCCTTGCAGACAGGCAGCAGGTGAGAGGTCCTTGGATGGCAAGACAAGGTACGGAAAGGCATGGCATGGCATGGCAAGTAACCGCAGAGGATGGCATGGTAAGGTAAAGTAGATCAATTACACGGAGGGCGATGCAGCCAAGCCAAACAAAGAGCACGGTGGAGGGACCTAGGGTTGTTCAGAGCAACATCAAGTCAACGATAACCCATCTCTCGAGCAATCAACCTTTGCTACAGGGCAGGACAGGAAGCGCTGCCAAGGGGTACGAACCCACGTGAAGTTTTGAGATGTCTCAAAACTTCACTTTCTACGGGGCAGGACAGGCAGTGCTGCCAAGGGGTAAGCATAGAACCTTGATCGGCGGGCCGATGGTCGCCATAGAGCGCTTGGAAGCGCTCTGCATTGCGCCCCTCCTGCTCGTAGTCCACCTCATCGAACATGCGGCACACCTGGGGGCGGACAGGGCAATGAGTGTGTGGGACACGTCCAAGCAGGTGGCTGGGATGGTTCTGATTCTGAGTCGCCTCAAGAATCACAAACTCTCCTTGCAATCTGCTGTTCTGGGTCGCTTCGATTGAAATGATAGAGTAGTCAGATTAGCTGACTTGGTACTAGACTCCGCCTCACTTTTGAGTTGTCTCCAGAGTCAACTCGATTAGACAGATTAGCTGACTTGCAACCGAGCTACACTGGGATAACTTCTTTTGAGACGTCTCAAAACTATAACTTCTGAGAAATCTCAGAAGTCAACACGACTGTACAAATTAGCTGACTTGGTATTCCACTCCTCTCTCCACCTCCTCTGCCTTGTTTCAGTCAGCTTGTGAGACGCGCGAACGAAATAAAATCCGAACCAGACCAGCTCACTGCGTTTGTCTGTATACTCACCAGCTGGTCGGCGATGGCAACGAGATCAGATCTGCCGTGCACTAGAGGCTGCAGCAGCGCTGCCACGCGGCGCACCACGAGAGAGTCCAGGGCGATCTGTTGCTGCACTGCTGGCCGTTGGATCTTCACTGCCACCCACTCGCCTGATCGCAGACGGGCTGGAGAGATGGTGGAAGGGACGAGCGGCAGACAGGGGGAAGGAGAGAGGAGAGACAAGAGAGAGATTAGGACGATCTGCTGCTGCACTGCAGGCCGTTGGATCTTCACTGCCACCCACTCGCCGGATCGCAGTCGAGCTGATGGGGAACAGAGAGAGTGGAGGGGAGAGGGAAAGATTAAAACAGAGTGGGGGATGAGGGAGTCAAGGCAGATCTGCTGCTGCACTGCTGGCTGTTGATTCTTCACCTCCACCCACTCGCTGGAGCGGAGACGTGTTGAGGAGAGAGGAAGAGGTGAGAGGAGAGAGGGAGTGGTGAGTGAGAGGCGGGAGGGAGAGGTGCGCCTGAAATGGAGGCGCGCTGAAACGGGGAGGGTGAAAGAGAGAAGGGCACAGAGAGAAGAGGAGAGTGGGAGGTGGGAACGAGGAAAAAAGGAGGGGAGTGACGCAGTGTGAGGAAGAATGAAATGATAGGGTCACAGGGGGGAGCCAGAGATACAAAAGGGAAGAGGAAGAGAGAAAGGTGTATGGGAGAAGAGAGAGAGAGGATGGGCAGTAACGGCCACATACCTCCATTGAAACCTGAACATCCAATATCGATCCCAATCCGCTTTTGAGTCGACTCAAAAGTTGAAATCTGAACTTCCGATATCAAATCAATCTCTCCCAAACCACTCACCAACCTTCTCCTTGTCACAAACTCCACTCACCTTTATACACCTGCCCGAGTGATGCAGCAGCCACAGGAGCCGGGCTGAACTCAGCAAAGAGCTCGCTGGGCGGCACTCCCAGCTCGCGCTGCACTGTAGCAAGTGCCACGTGGCAGGGGAAGGGCGCCATGCGATCCTGCAGCAGCGCCAGCTCAGCGCAGTACTCTGGCGGCAGGATGTCGGGGCGCGTGCTCAGGGCCTGCCCCAGCTGTTGGGGGGTTGGGAGAAGAGGGGGGAGGGGGGGGCAGGTGAATAGGGGGGAAAGGTTGGGGATGGGGTGGGGGTTGGAAAAGGTTTTAAGTCGAGAAGGGGTAGAAGAAGGGAGGGTAACTTGATAGCATGGGAGGGAAGTGGCGACGTCAACCAACAGGCGATTTCTGAGGAGAGATTGAAGAGGGCTTGCGCATATACCTTGACATAGAAGGGGCCGAGGCGAACAAGAGACTCCCTGAACTGACGGAGGGAGGGATGGGGAGGAGCAGAGAGGCGATGAGAGGAAGATCGACGAACTTGGTGGATGGAGGAGCATGTTCGCAAAGGTCCATTGCTCTCAATGCATACAGTGCACTGTCCAATGTCTCCTTGCCGCCTCACACTCTCACATCCGAATCTTCCTACACACCTTCCTAGCGCGCACTCTCACATCCGCCACCATCTGTTTCCGCCACCACATGCGCCCCATCTCCGCTATAGTCACACCAGCGCGCCTCGCTACTGTCACGGGCCGCCATCTGTACTCCGCCGCGATCGCCTCAGGATCGTATCTCTGCCGTCCGTTCCCTGACGGGGCGTGAGATGTATGGCCAGGTCTTGATTGAGTGTCAGTCGAGGGAGGTCTAATCTGAGTGTCTGGAACGGAGGGTGTTGTCTGATTGGTTTGGCGGGGAGGCGTTATCGGAGCGGCTTGGCGGGGAGGGGGAGGCGGCACCTGGTGGTGGGGGCTACCTGCAGGCGAGTCGTGATTGGCGCGGGTGTTCGCGGGGAGAGGTGCGGGGATGTGGGTGCGCGTGTGTGTGGGTGGAGCAGCGGGTGTGTGACGTGTAAGCCACGACGTGTTGAGTGCGTGGCGTGGGAATGTGTGACGTGGGAGGGTGTGATGCGGGGGTGTGTTGTGTGGGCGGCACACTCTTGCGATGTGGGCGGGCAGATGCAACTCGCGGAGGAGCGACGGCGTCTCCGAAGAGAATGGCGATGGGAGGAGCCATGGGCGGAAAGGAATCGCCGGCGCGACGCCGGGCGCGGAGGTTGACGGGGGAGTAATGGGCGACGGATGCGGCGTGCGAAGGACGATTGAAACGAGTTGGTTGCCTGAGGGTGACAGTAGCGAACGTGGCAGTGACGGGGGGAACAGGTCAGCGGAGAAAAAGAATGTCTTATATCGGCCTCGTTCTTTGAGTTTCGTAGCCGTGAGCCGGCCAACGCGCCCAACCATGTCCAGCTCTTTTCGAACAAAATAATTTCGCGGGCTGTTCCCACCCTCTTTAGCGGCGAATCAGCTCAGAGCGCGAAAGGCAACGAAAGGCAACGCCATGGCACCTTCATCGAGGACCTTGCTGGAAATGGAGTTCCACGAATGGCGCTAAAACTGCTTTCATCGATGTGGAAGGGAAAGTTGTGTGTGATCGGTTTATTAGAGCGGTTCAGTACGTTACATCGTGCTGAAGTCCGGTTTCTGTACTTCACTGATAGTTGGAAACTGCGTTTTTTCTCAACCACAAATTTGGTGAATGTTGTGTGGTGGTGGTCTTTAAAACCCGAGTCCCAAATTGCCAGGCGCGTGGGTCATGCTTTTAAAACTTGACGAAGTGCAGTGTGCAAGCTTTGAAAAGTAGCACACCTGCAATTTGGGACTTCCGGGTGCTGGCACAACCTGCAGGGAGAAATACGTGGGCTGGCTAGGTTTGGCGAAAAAAACGAAATGCTCGAAATTGGAATCACTCGCCAAAACCCAAACCAGAAAAAACCCCTCGCGTCATCCTTTTAAAACTTGTGCAATTTGGGCTTCCGGCTTTAAAGTTCGCGTCTCAAATTTCAGGGTTCCAACCAAGTGTTAAACGGTTGGAATCCGGTAACAGCATGGATTGTCGCAAAGCACACATGGGGTGGTTTTGGAAGGTTGGTTGGGAGAGGCTGGGAACACGCCCATGTTCCAGGCAAAACAGTTATACGACAAAGCAGGTCGGGACGGTAAAGAGCATGTCTTCCTGTATTCAAAATGGTAACTCCTCGCACAAACCCAGCTGGGGGATTGGCTCTCGCGAAGTCCAACTTTGGTACTGACAGGAGTTCGTTTGCGGTCGAAAGCCTTGGCCTCTTAACTAAGTTTGTTGGGTGAAAGGATGTTGGGGTGCATTTGGCTGGTGGGATGGGAAGGTTGCGGGCACCAAAATATTCCATTTTCACAAGACTGCTCACAGCGAATCTCGCGGCTCTGCGCACCAAACGATCCGCTATTTTCTTATCGGACGGTTATTAGACTCCTGTGATTCCCACCAGCTGTCATTCTGCCCGATCATGTGTAACCCTTGTCGCTGACCATTAGGAAAAGTTTCGTCGCATCAGGAAAATTGGCTCTGGCGACAACAGGTCTTCGATATTGGTTGGGGACCCGTTTGAGATAGAAACCCTAGCATCTAGAATCCTCCAACCAATCCCGTTCCTCCGTTCACCAACGAAACCCTTGTTCTGCATCATCCTCGTTTTGCCAACTTCCATTTCCCACCTTCCGTTCCATCACCTTTCTGTTCCGTTTCTTCCATCCACCTTATCCTCAACAGCTAGCGCAGAGAAGAGCGATACGGCACCATATCGGAGCAGCAGATTGAGCTCTTGACGCGTAATTTAGACCATGGCGCAGCAGCAAGGCGTCGACGAGTTGACCTTGATGCAGCAAACGCCAGGCGGAATGGTCATGGCTCCAGCTCCTGCAATGGACCCGTACGCTTCGCATCATCAACACCATCACCATCATATCCAGCAGCAGCAGCAGCAGCAACAGCAGCACCATCACCACCTCGCGCATCCCGGATTGGTGCAGCAATCTCTCGACGAATCAACGGTCATGATTCCAGCTGAAGCCGACGCCGTCGCCGCCATGCTCGGAAATGCCGGCGGCGAGGTGATGCTAACGAGCGGAGGATTAGCGGGCGCGGCTCACGGTCACCCTGGCGCGATTGTGACTACACAGGGGGTTATGGCTGCCGGGGGCATTCCGCATGGTCAAGTCGTCATGACAGCGGATGGGAGAATGGTGACCGTTGACGGAAGCGTTTTGACCAATCAGGGAGTGCTTGTCGCTGCTGCGTCGGCATTGGAGCACGCCTCGATACAAGAACACGCCGCCGCGATGCACCACGCCTCGATGCAAGAACACGCCGCTGCGATGCACCACGCGGCGTTACAAGAGCACGCCGCTGCTGCGGCGGCGATGCGACAGCACCATTCGCTACAAGAACGGCCTCCGATGCAGCACTACGCGGGAGAGGACCAGCACGCGTCGATGCAACACATGCATCACCAACAACACCTCCACCAACACCACCTCCATGCAGCCATGGCGGAACACGAGTCTTTGCAGCAACAGTACCAACAGCAGCAGATTCAACAGCACCACCACCAGCAGCATCAACAACCAGTTCAGGAGCAGCAACAGCAGCAGCAGCAGCACGAAGGCCATGCGGCCGTGCCAGAACACCAAACCGCAGCAGCCCATCACAGCGCACACCATGGGGGCTACCACAACGGAGATCACGCCGCACATCACGGCGGCCATAACGAAGATCTCGCCATTGTCGCAACCCACGGAGACCCCATGGCCGCCGGCGCCGGCGCCGGTCAAGGGGACATATCCGGAGGCGAGTCGGAAGGGGAAGAGGAGACTATCATGCTTCGCGGCCGCAGCAAGAACCGGCAGGCTGTGGAGCTGATTATCAAGCAGGAGATCTGCGCGCTTAAGAACGCCCGGCCGAAGATCACGGCGGCCGGGATCTGCCAGGTGCTACGCGCAAAATACGGTAACTCCACCGTGCGAGAGTCGCAGATCCCGCGCATCCTGCGCGACGAGCACAAGTGGGGGCGCGCGCCCGCGAACTTCAAGCGCGTGAGGCAGCCGCATAACGTGCGGCTGGAGGAGGCTCTGGCCATGTGGGTGCGGGATATGAAGGCGCGAGGCGACTTCCGAGTGACGTGCGATCGCATCCTGGAGCATGCGAAGGACATTGGTCCGTCCCTAGGCGTTCCCGCTTCCTTCAGATACAGCCGCGGGTGGATCTCGCGCTTCCTCAGGCGCTGGGGGCTCACACGCAAGGCAGTGGAAGCAGCAAGGGAGGCCAATTTCAACCCCCTAGACCCCTCCTCGGGCCCCTCTCATGGCGGTGGGGGAGGCACTGACAGCGCCGCACACATCATTGACAGCAGGAGCCTAATGGAGCTTGCAGACGAACAGCTAGATCTGGAGGAAGCTGCTCGCCGCGCATCTGAGCCGTCGGATTTGCTCGCTGAGCTGACAGATGAGGATATTCTAGCCGCCGCGGCGAGCATCCCTGCGGTGGGGAGCAGCGTCGTGGTGGCCGTGGCAGGATCCAGGGGCGGGCAGTATGCTCCTGGACCTGGGGGAGCTGGGGGGGGCGGCATGCACTATGCTCCTGGGGCTGGGGGGGCTGGTGTGGGGGGGATGGGGGGTGAGGGAGAGTCCGTTGGGGAGGGGCAGCTGCAGGCTGTAGCGGAGGAGGTGCTTCTGGGGCTGGACGGATCTGTAGCACGGGCGCCAGCTCCTGCTGGTGCTTCTGGCGCTGCTGGTGCTGCGGGTGCATACGCGCCTGGCTCACACATGCTTGTGCCATCCGGAACTACCTTCTCTGCCTCTCAAGGCCCATACACGTCCTCTGCCCTCGCCCACCTCTCTTCCGCGCCTCCCCACGCTCCCCATCCCTCGCCGCCGCCCCCCCAGCGGCGGCGCAACATCACAGTGAAGCTGAAGCGCGCCATCTGCGTGCTGAAGCGCGCCAAGCCGCGCCTACGCGCGTCCGCCATCATAGACGCCGTGCGCGCGAGCACGGGGATCTCCCTGGGCACGCACCAGGTCTCGCGCATTCTCCAGGACAGCGACCGTTGGATGCGCGCTCAGGCCAACGCGAACGCCGTCAAACGCGTGCGGGACCCTGAGAACGCCGCACTAGAGGAAACCCTAGCTGAGTGGGTGAAGGAGATGCGGGCGAAGCATGGCGAGGCGATGGTTACCAGGGACGATATGATTGACCATGCGAAGAGGATCGGTCCCGGGTTGGGGGTTCAGCCGGGGTTTAAGTATAGCAGGGGGTGGCTGTCGAGGTTTTTGTGGCGGTGGGGGCTGCAGACGAGGGAGGAGAGGGAGGCGGCGACGAGGGACGGAGGTGCTGAAGGGGCGGCTGCTGCTGGGGATGCTGGGGGTGCCGGGGCTGGTGGGGGTCCGCTGGCGTTAATGCCTGCTGATGCTGAGGGGGAGGCTGAAGCAAGTTCTGCTGGTGCTGCTGCTGCTGCTGGGGCTGGGGCCGCTGGAGCTTCTGGTGGAGCTGGTGTAGGTGGGGCTGCTGGCGCTGCTGGTGCAGCTGCAACAGGAAGCGACGCGGGTAGCGATCTGATCATATCCTCTCACGATTTTGTCATTACTGGTACGGACAGTGACGAGGATAATTTCCTTCGTCTGGTGGAGGAGCAGCTTGCTGAGATTGAAAAGGCAGGCGGCAAGGCAGCCAGGGCTGCGATTGTATGGGGCGAAGGGGGCGAGGGGGCCGAAGGGGGAGCAGGAGAGGGCGGAGGAGCAGGAGAGGGCGGGTCTTCCGAAGGGGAGGATACCGGGGACGAGACGGATATAGGGGAAGGCGGGGGTGAGAGGCGCCAGCGGTACGGTCCCGGGGTGTTCGGAGCGGTTGGGAGCGGTGACGGGCCGGGAGATGCACTTGATGTAGACGCGGACGGGATCAGAAGGCGGCGGATGGTCCAAGTAAAGGTGAAACGGGCGGTGTGTGCGCTGAAACGAGCACGGCCTGAGCTCACTAGCAGGGAGATCATAGACGCAGTGAGGGTGAAATACGGAGTGGATTTGCCCCCGTCGGCTGTGCCGCGGATTTTGAAGTATGACGAGAGGTGGCAGCAGGCTGGCGCGGCGGCGTCGTGCCGGGTAAGGTCGTGCATGAATTCGAAGCTGGAAGAGGTGCTGGCGGCGGCTGTGAGGCGGGCGCTGGCCCGTGCTGCTGGTGAGGCGGGTGAGGGTGTGAAGGGGAGTGAGGGCGGCGAGGGTGGTGAGGGTGGTGAGGGAGGGGAGGGTGTGAAGGGGAGTGAGGGAGCGGAGGGGGCGGGGGCGGCGGGGGGAGAAGGCGGGGAGGAGGGTGCTGCTGGGACTTCAGCAGCAGCAGAAGGGGGGGCGGAAGGAGCAGGAGCAGGAGCAGCAGCAGTGGCAGCGGCGGCGGCAGCGCCAGCAGTGGCAAGGACAGTAACAGTGCAGTCCATTCTGGACCATGCCAAGCGCATAGGCCCTCTGCTAGGCGTAGCACCTGGATTCCGCTACTCCAAGGGGTGGGTCTGCCGCTTCCTGCAGCGCTGGGGCTTCGGCAGCAAGCATCTTAAGAGCGGAGTTCTAGGGGTGGTGGCTTCTGGGGGGAGTGCTATGGGGGGTGATAGGGGCGGGGAGGAAGGGGATGCTGGGGAGAATGGGGACGAGGAGGGGAGGGAGGAGCGGGAGGACCGGGAGTTGCAGGAGTTGCTGAGTATTGTGGATGAGCAGGCGGCTGAGCAGGCGAGAATGGAGGCGATGTACGGGTGGGGGTATGGGGGAGGGGGATATGGGGGAGGTGGGTATGGGGGAGGCGGGTATGCGGGGTATGGAGGAGGGGAGACAGGCTCGGGAGGTACACCTGGGCAGGTGCCGTTTGCAGTGGGTGTTCCTGCGGCTAGGCTCGGGATTATTCGCACGCCCGAAGCTGCAGCTGCGGCTGCCGCGGCTGAGGCGGCGGCTTGGGAGTATGCTTCGGGCGGGGGTGCTGGGGGGATGAGGAAGAGGAAGAGGTTTGGGGTTGGGCCTGGTGACGTGGCATTGCATAATAGGTCGAGATCTCACTTCTGGGATTTGATGGTAACGGAGATGGCAGGGAAGGGAGAACGAGGAGGGGGGCAGGGGGGAGTGGAAGGGGGGATGCGGAGTGGTGGGGAGGTGAAAGCAGAGGAGGGTGGGGAGCGGGGAGGGCATGTGGGTGTGGAGGAGGGGGTGGTTGGGATGGAGGTGGAAGAGGGTGATGGGAAGCTTAGGGAGGAACATGCACTTGCTGCAGGACCAGGAGGTGCCGCTGCTCCTGTGGCGGAGTCAGCAGCTGCTGACACCACTGCCGCTGCTGCGCCTCCTGCTCTTGATGCTGCTGCTGCTGCTTCTGCTGCTTCTGCTGGTCCGACTGCTTCTGCTGGTCCGACTGCTGCTGTTGGTCCGTCTGATACAGACATCACTGCGGGTGATAGTGCGAAGGCCGCCAAACAGGCAGAGGCGAAAGGAGCAGAGGATCAGCAGGGTACTGCTGCTACTGGGGAGACAGGTGCAGCTCCTTTGGCTGCTGGCGAGGCGGGTGCGGCTCCTATGGCCGATGCTGATGCTGCAGACTCTGCTGCTGCCGATGCTGCTGTTCCTGCTGGTTCTGCTGCTGCTGCAAATGCTGCTGGTGGTAGCGGTGAAATGGACGTTGGTGAGAAGGATGGGACGCTGGCAGGTGCGCGGGAGGAAGGCGAGAAGCAAGCAGAGGGCGGAGAGAAAGGTGTGGAGGGAGAGGTAAAGGCTGGGGACAAGGAGGCACCTGCCACTGCTGAGGACCCTGCTGCTGATGGTGACGCTGCGGCTGCTGATGCTGCTGCTGGTAGTGCTGCTGCTGCAGCTGCTGGCACTGCTGCTGCTTCTGCAGCTGACACGCCAGGTGCTGGTGATGATGGTAAACCTGCCAAGGCTTCTGAAGCAGCAGCAGCAGCAGATGCGTCACAGAAATCGACAGAACAAACGCCCGTCCCAAGCAGTGTAACACCACCAGTTGCTAGCCACTCAGTTCCAGGAGAGAAGCCTGCTGCTGCTGATACTCAAGCCGAAGGCCATGCACCTTCTTCTCTTCCGCCACCTGCAGCAGCACTCGCAGCAGTAACACCTGTAACCCCTGTGACGCCAGTAACCCCAGCTTCGGTTGTACCACCAGCTTCGGCTCCCGTACGTAGGAGTTTCCACCTGACGTTACCTTGCAGTACACTGTACAGTCATTCCAGTTCGTTCCATGGCGGATTCGTCGTGCACTCGCACACTGGCTCGCAGCACATGAAAGCATCGGCTGCGATTTTCGTTCTCGCCGCAACAGCTGATTCCTGAAGCACTCAGTGAGGTGACACGAATTTATCCGCTTTGCACGCAGTTCCACTATACTTGAGAGAGTTAGCATCGTCGTCTTGCTAACATGGGAGCGGTCGAGTCCATTCTAGTCGTCTCGGATTCCGACGAGGAGGGCGACGAGGGGCAACAGGGTAACCAGCAACGGCGACGAGAGCGACAGCGTCGCAAGGCGCTGGGGGGGGATGCAGCCTCCGCGGAAATAACGAGTCTAGAGCGTCAGGCGGAGCAGCAACGGCGGAAGAACCACGCGGAAGGAGCGGGTGACGGCAAGCGGGGCGGTCCTCCAGGCGGAAACAGCCTTGCGAGAAGTTATAGCGTTGACTCGGTTGACTCCGTTGACTCGCTTGACCGCGACGAATCTATCTGCTCGCCCCGCTCCGTTGACTCCCTTGACCTTGCCTCCCCTCGTTCCGTTGAGTCGGCGGAACCGTACGATTCTGCTAATCTGCCCGTCTCCGCGCATCCTGGTACGCGCAAGTCCAAGGCGCACCACAGGCGGAGGGGCTCGCGCGGATCGTCGCGCCTCAGCAAGTCCGATTCCGCCACTTACGCCGACGGGCGCGTCGCTCCCGACGCTGACGTGGGACCCGCGACGAGCGGGAATGGACACGTCAGCGCTGCAGCGCTGGCAGCCGCGCACGCCAAGTCAGCTGGAGAATTATCATTGGGAGAAGACGGAGCGTTGCGAGAAAGAAGGAGCATGGGGGCGGGAATGGGCATTGGGGGGCTTGGGGAACCAGGCGGAGGGATGGGGAGGGGAAGGGGGATGTTATCGGGAGGCGGAGCACCATTACCTCCTGTGAAACTACCTGCGCCTGGTGGCGGACGCGTGAGTATAGGGGGAAGGAGTGGAGGAGGCGGGGGGAATGAGGTCGGGGGAAGCGTTGGCGCAGGCGTGGGGGCACATTGGGTTTTCCTGGGCAGCAAAGAAATTACCGAAGCTGCTTCCATGGCTCCATTCCAAACCTTCGCCGCTGCTATGGCGGTTGCCGAGCCTTCGGCCGAGGCTGCTGCCGAAGCTGCAGCCTCGTTGCAGCCAGGGTCCCCTGTGAGGCTGCAGCGTGTGCTCGCTGCTGTGTCACGAGCGCTAGACAGAGCCAGTGAGGAGGCAGCAGCAGGGAGGGAGGGTGGTGCAGGGGTACAGGTGAGTGATGCTGAGGCGAGTCAAAAAGAGGGAGAGGTGAATGTTGTGGCGACTGATAAGTCGCCTCGAGTGCTGGTTCCCGCGTCAGCTGCGCTAGACAGTGAGAGTGTGGCGGCAGCAGAGAATGGGGGCTTCGTGGAGGGAGAAGCTGCAGCAGGGAAAGAGGTCTCTGCGGCGGTAGAACCAGCAGGAGGGATAGATGAACGTGCAACGAAAGGAGCAGTTGCAGGGAAAGGGGTTGCTGCAGAGAGCGCAGCGGATGCAGGAGCAGCAGGGGTGGTGGCAACCGGGGTAGCAGCACAGGTGGCAACAGTAGTGGTCGCAGAGGGGCCAGATGGCATAATGGGGTTGGGTGAAGCAGGTGCGGAAGAGGAGGATGAGGATGAGGATGAGGATGAGGGTGAGGGTGAGGGTGAGGGTGAGGGTGATGGTGAGGGTGATGGTTCTGCTGTGGGCGGGCAAGAAGCACGCGCAGAGGCAACTTGTGAGAGGCCTCAAACAGGCGATGGTACCCATGCAGAGGCGGGTATGGGGGAGGAGGAGTCATTACCAGTGCAGGGCGGCGGGCTGGCAGGGAACGCGGGTGAGGCGGGTGGGAGGGGTGAGGGGGGTGATGGCAGTCGTCGCACACTTCCCCCACTGACCAAGCATTTACAACACTCAGAAATATGAAACGCAGAGTTTTCTTCTATGACAGAAAGCTCAGATGCGGGACCATTTCAAGTGTTTTACCATACACAAGCCACGTCCAATATTACAGCTAGCACAGAAAACTCCCTCGCGATCAAACTGCAAGAAGAAACCGTGCGCATATAGACCTGCACGCATTCCGTGCCCCGCATTCCGCCAGCCTGAACACGGGAAAAGCATCAAATATAGCGGGTCCAATCCGCTGTAGGCATCACGCGCCACCTGAGCCTCAGCGCGCGCCCCGCTGTAGGCATCTGGCGCCTTTTTAGCATCAGCGCGAATGCGACTGTGATTTCACGCGCCACCGAGGCATAAGTGCGCGCACCGGCCGCATTAGTCAAGAGCCGACTAAACATCAGCGCGCAAACCTCTGTAATGCAACGAACCCCCTTTCCCAAAAGCGCAAGCACGGCAGTAGGCACCACGCGCCTACAAAACTGCCGCGCGCAAAAAAAACAACCCACACGTCCACTCAAAATCAGCGCCAGCTCTGAGAGGGGGGAGGAGGGGAGGATAGAGGGGGGAGAAGGTGCGCTGAGAGGGGGAAGGAGGAGAGGACAGAGGGGGGGAGAAGGTGCGCTGAGAGGGGGAAGGAGGAGAGGACAGAGGGGGGGAGAAGGGGGTCCTCGCTGCGCCCTCCCTCTCCTCGCTGCTCCCTTCCTTTCCTCGCTGCTCCCTTCCTTTCCTCGCTGCTCCCTTCCTTTCCTCGCTGCTCCCTTCCTTTCCTCGCTGCTCCCTTCCTTGCTCACCTCGTAGCGCACGTCACTCCCGCCCGTTCCGCAGTCACTGTCGTCCCGCATTCTCACCCGTTGCTCTCTCACCCTCCTCACGCGAGAACGATGCCACCGCGCTCTCTCGCTCCCTCAATCAATCCCGTCCATCTCTCACTTCCGTCCTCCTCTCACACCCGTCCCTCTCTCACACCCGTCCCTCTCTCACACCCGTCCCTCCCTCACACCCGTCCCTGCTGCCCCCAGGTGTCATGTGGCAGGTGGGGTGGGCACCTCTCCATACGTCCCTCGCTGCTTCCCCCGTCGCCACTCCCCTCTCTGCCTCTCTCGTCCAATCCCTCTAAGCCCCTCTCCTCCTTTCCCCCATGTCCTTCCCTCCGTTTCCCCCCTTTTTCAACTCTCCCTTTCCCCGTTTCCCCCTTTTGTCCCTCCCTCATACTCATTCCCCCTTGTCCTTCCCTCCGTTTCCACACTTGTCATTCCCTCCCTATCCCCTGTGTCGTTCCTTCCGTTTTCCCCCTTGTTTCTCCCTCCCTTTCCCCTGGTCCTTTTCTCCATTTCACCCTTCTCCCTCCCTCCCTTTCCCCTACTCCTTCCCTCCGTTTCCCCCCTTGTTCTTCCCTCCCTTTCGCCCATGTCCCTCCCCTTCTCTTACCCCGCCTATCTTTCCCCCCTGGTCTGCCCCTTCATTCCCCTTCTCCCGTTCATCCCTTTTGCCCTCTTCCTACCCTTCCCCTCTCTTCTCTGCCCCGGTCTCACCTGACCTGACACTCTTTGACCATCTTTCCGTTCCCCATTACACCATACCCACCGTTAACTCACACACCCTTCCCACTCACACACCCTTCTCACTCACACACCCTTCTCACTCACACACCCTTCTCACTCACACACCCTGCTCACTCCCACTCCCTGCTCACTCCCGCTTCCTGCTCACTCACCCACCCTGCAGTGCTGGGGATTGCAGTGCTGGTGAGTGCAGTGCTGGTGAGTGCTGTCCTGTTCTTCTCCCCGCCGTTCCTCCCTTCATCAGTTCCTCCCTCTATTCCACCCTTCCTCTTTTCATCCCTTCTTCTGTTCCTCTTCAACTATAAGCATAAATCGAGGGACCTTGCGTTATCCTTTCCCGTGTTGGCTGCTTGTCCTTCATCATTGTCTTGTATACATCCCTGCTGCTCAGCCATGTCACATCTTAGAGCGTGTTCCTACGGCATGTTATCAGGCCAACCTCTAGTCTGTTGGAGGTTGAGTGAGGCAAGGTTTTGCCCCCAACCACCGAACGGTGCTTCTCAAGTGTTCCAAGAAGTTTGGCTTCACTGCAGGTCTCGAGAAGGTGCAGGTTGACTTCGAGAGACTTGCATTTCGGTGCCACATGGCAGCACAAGAAGAATCGAGACTCAGGGAGAATTCGATTCGGTGAAATCCGAGACTCGAATTTCACCCCTTCGAAATGTTACTCGAACATTCGAGTGCACCGCGGTTCGAGGTTACATGTGCGGTTCGATGTTGATTGCATGCTATAAAACTAGTAGCTTTGTATGCATGTTTCATACTGAAAATCAGAGTTTCCTATACACGGTTCAACTCGACACAAAATCCAGAGAGCTCATATCCTACGTTCTAAGAGCACTAGCAAGCACATAAACGCATAGAACTCTCTCGTTACTTAGGCGAATCGCGTGTTTGACGGCTCGTTGGAAAGCCAGCAGTGTGCTCTATCGTTTAGTGCAACTCCCAGTTCCTGCAAAGTAGAGGAGAGTACTCTACAACAGTGGTATCAGAGCTGGTCGGAGGAGTCTACGCGCGCGACAAGGAGCAAGCATGCCGACTTCAAGCGAGACCTCCCGCACTTCCTTGGATGGTGTCGTTGTAAATTCCGGCGAACCCTGGGCAACCGCGACGATGTTCGACACGTCGGCGGTACCGATTTTCACGGGACAAAATTACTCCGCGTGGAAGTCTAAGTTCCAAGTGCTCATGATGGAGCGGGGACTTTGGGGTTTCTTCGATGGAACGGAGAAGAAGCCGGACGATGAGAGCGGCATCGCGGCATGGAAGAAGGACCAAAAGGCGTTCGCTACGTTGATTTCGCGCATCGGCATCAATCTCGTGAGCTCGGTGCGCATGTGCGTCAAGCTCGAAGCGTCGTCGCATGAAGCGTGGAAGCGGCTCGAGACCATCCACGTGAACAAGACTCTCCACGGCAAGATCCTAGCCTGGAATGCATTCTATACGGTGAAGATGCGCGCGGGCGAATCGATGCACGAGTATGCGACTCGTGTGGAGGAACTCGGGGAAACGTTCATGGACCTCGGTGGAACGGTCACGGAGGAGGATTGGATTTTGACATTGCTATGCGGCCTTCCGGAAGAGTGGTCGACGGTGATTACGACACTCGATAGCGTGCAAGACACTTGGACGAAGGAAATGGTGGTCGGTCGGCTTCTTCATGAAGAATCGCGTCGCCGACAATTCGCTAATGAGAGCGAGGGTGCCGCCATGTTCTCCGGAGGGAGTTCTGGAAAGAAGTCCACGTGGAGCAAAGGTGCGACGAAGAAGTCGTCCGGAGGAAGCGATCGCGGCAAGGGAAATGCATCGAGCGGCACGAGCAAGTGCCACTATTGCGGCAAATCGACGCACCCGGGAGCGGCTTCATCCAACGTGGCGCAAGGTTCCAAGGCGACTCTCAAGGCGTGGCATAATCGACTTGCGCACGCCAATTACGACTCGGTCAAGGAGTTGGCAAACAAAGGACTTGCGAAGGGAGTCGATGTGGTCGCCGGCGACGACGAGACGGGCGTGTGCGCGGCGTGTGTCGAAGGAAAAATGGCTCGGAAGCCATTTGGTAGCCGAACGTCACCCCTTGCTAAGGACTCGCTTGCGCTTGTTCACATGGACGTGTGTGGACCGATGCGACATGCATCAAAGGGAGGAGCGCGGTTTCTCTTGGTGATGCTCGACGACGCGACGCGGATGTGTTGGACCCGACTCTTGAAGGCTAAGGGCGACTCGGCCAAGGCAATACAAGAGTGGGCGCTCGAAGTTTGCAACGACGACAAGAAGCGGATCAAGGTTATTCGTACCGATGGTGGTGGCGAATTCGTGAACAACGAGCTTGCGAAATGGATGAAGAGCAAGGGCATCAAGCACGATGTCACAACACCCTACACACCCCAACAAAATGGAGCGGCGGAGCGGCTTAATCGCACATTGGTGGAAGCTTGGGAGCGAGTGGTGGGGTGAGGCGAGTTCGCTAGCGGCGTGGATTCGCAACCGTTTGCCGATGAAGGTGCTCCCGGGAACGACTCCGTTCGAAGCATGGAGCGGAACGAAGCCGAATCTATCACGCCTACGCACCTTTGGGTGCCTTTGCTACTACCATGTACCGGATCCACTTCGCCACAAGTTACAACCGAAGGCTCGTGCGGCGATCTACTTGGGAATTGCGGCGAACGAGCATGCGTGGCGAGTGTGGGACTTGAGTGACAAGCGCGTCGTCACGTCTCGAGACGTGGTCTTCGACGAAGACAAGTTTCCGACAAAGGAACAACCAACGCCGCAACTCACCGTCGTCCTTCCCGCACGAGAGGAGGATGAAGCGGTGGAGGTTCCATCACAAGTGGAAAAGGAAGCTGAAAATGGAGGGGGAGAGAATGAGGAGAGCGACAACGACATGGTGGAGATGCCTCCAACCGAGGCGGCAACTTCCTCCACACCTTCCTCCCTCCCATTGGCGTTGACCCGCAAGCAACGTATACGTCGCCCCAACACGAAGTACAACGACTACGCTATGGTAGCCGTTGGGGAGTTGGACGAGGAGCGTGCGGCATATTGCTTCGCAACCTTGGGTGATGACCCTCGCACCCATACCGAGGCTTTGGCTTCTCCGGATGCGCCACTATGGAAACAAGCGATGGAGAAGGAACTAGCCTCGATCAAAGAGAACGACGTGTTTGAGCTCGTCGACCCGCCGAAGGGTGCCTACTTGGTGGGGTGCAAATGGGTGCTTAAGAAGAAGTTGGGAGCCGATGGGAGTGTCGAACGCTACAAGGCGAGGCTTGTAGCTCAAGGCTACACTCAACGGGAGGGGGAGCACTATAGCGAGACCTTCGCTCCCGTCGCTAAGGCTACAACTCTTCGGGTGTTGCTCGCGCTAGCGGCATCTCTCGACCTCGAGGTGGAGCAATTGGACGTTTGCACCGCCTTCCTCTACGGGCTTCTCATGGAAGAGGTCTACATGCGGCAACCCCCGGGGTACGATGACGGTAGCGGAAGGGTGTGGAAGCTCAAGCGTACCCTCTACGGCTTGAAGCAAAGTCCACGAGGATGGTACAAGCGCATCGACGACTTTCTTCTTCAACACGGCTTCGCGCGTAGCGAGTGCGATAGCGCTTTATACGTGTTGAAGGAGGGGGAGAAGCAATTGGTGCTTTTTCTCTACGTCGATGACCTACTCCTCTTCTCCGACTCCAAAGACCTCATTCGGGAGGTCAAGCAACGGCTAGGGGCGGAGTTTGCGATGAGGGACTTGGGGCCGGTCACGTACTACCTTGGGATGCACGTCGATCGTGACCGAGCCAACGGGACCATCCACCTCCACCAAGAGAAGTATGTGAAGGGGATAGTGGAGAGCTTCGGCATGGGCGATAGCAAACCGGTGGGAACACCACTAGCTACGGGATTTTCTTGCCTCACGGGAGAGGAAGAATCCACCATCGACGAAGCCGAAGTGAAGCGGTTTCATTCGCTAGTGGGCTCGCTCATGTATGCCGCCGTTTCTACTCGCTCCGACCTCGCATACGCCGCCGGGGTGCTTGGACGAGTCGTGAGCAACCCTCATACCGAGCATATGCGCGCGGGAGGACGCGTTCTACGCTACCTCCAAGGCACACCTAACTTGGGGCTCGTGTATGAAGCCGGCCCGATTGAACTCAAGGGCTATGCCGACTCGGACTACGCGGGAGATCCGAGCACGCGCAAAAGTACCTCCGGGTATGTCTTCACCTTGCTTGGGGCAGCCGTGAGTTGGCAAAGCAAGAAGCAACCAACCGTGGCTCTAAGCTTAACGGAAGCGGAGTATATGGCACTCACTCAAGGTGCCATGGAGGCAATATGGTTACGGCGTCTTCTAGCGGAGCTTGGGCATCCTCAACCCAACCCAACTCCTCTCTTTTGTGACAACCAAGCCGCCATAAGCCTCTCTCACAATGCCGTCCTTCACGGGCGAACCAAGCATATCGAAGTGAAACATCACTTCATTCGTGAGGCGGTTGAGAAGGGTGAGGTCAAACTCACTTATGTGAGCACCAAAGCTCAACCCGCGGACTTCCTCACTAAACCACTCCCTAAGGATTCATTCCGTGCATGCTGTGAGCGTGTTGGATTGAGCACCTAGTGGCTTGGGTGCAAGGGGGAGTGTTGGAGGTTGAGTGAGGCAAGGTTTTGCCCCCAACCACCGAACGGTGCTTCTCAAGTGTTCCAAGAAGTTTGGCTTCACTGCAGGTCTCGAGAAGGTGCAGGTTGACATCGAGAGACTTGCATTTCGGTGCCACATGGCAGCACAAGAAGAATCGAGACTCAGGGAGAATTCGATTCGGTGAAATCCGAGACTCGAATTTCACCCCTTCGAAATGTTACTCGAACATTCGAGTGTACCGCGGTTCGAGGTTACATGTGTGGTTCGATGTTGATTGCATGCTATAAAACTAGTAGCTTTGTATGCATGTTTCATACTGAAAATCAGAGTTTCCTATACACGGTTCAACTCG